ACTTGCTGAACTCTGGTTTGGGTCACTGGACTCACTACAAGTCCCAGAAGTCATTGCTGTCAGAGCAGTTAAAGGTTTTAAAGGTCAAACTCGCCGGGTAAATTCAGAACTGTGTAAACATATAATGTTCATAAATGTTTTAACGAATTAGGACTTTGTTTTTTTATTAAGAAGTTTCACTTCATTTCACTGGTGCATTAAAGTTCACCCTGCAGGTTTCTTCCACTTTCACTCAGGAGCAAAAATCAGCCTTTAAACTCAAAAGAAATAAAGAAACTTTTTATGGCGATAACATTTTTTGGCAGAGAGACAGAGCGGTTCAGGAAACATCGTCCTGACTCCGCCTGACGTCCCGCAGGTGTTCGTACCTGGCTGGCGTGGAGGCGTGGGGGCCCCTGCGAGGCGTGGCCGGGGAGCCCTGCAGCGAGCTCCTGCGTCCAGGACCAGGTGTTGTATCGGGGTTGTGGCTGATCCAGCGGCGCAGAGCGTCGCAGGCCTCCCGCTGCATGCTGCAGTTGGTGAAGCTCACGGCGAGCGCCATGAGGGCCGGCAGGTTGTTGGGGCGGAGCTCCAGACACCTGCAGCAGGGGACACGGGTTAGCTTCTGTCTGCTAGCAGCGGTTAGCACAGGTGAGACTTTAATACAAGAGAAGTTCAATAAACTGGACGTCGCTTCTTTAAAAATCTGATTTTCCGCTGTGTTTAAGGCAGGACTGACGGGAGGAATTACTGACAGATTAGTGATGAAAACATGTTTAAATGTGAATGAGAACATCACAGAGCTGCATGCTCCCCTGCTCCATCCTAATGCTTTTACATACCTCTGTCACTTCTGTCATGTATTTATTTGTGTAGTTTATTGTATTTTCCTTGCAGTACTTCTTAAAGCTGTACTAGTAGAGTTCAGAGTAACAGTCAGCAGGAGTTCCTTCGCGTCCAGCTGAAAAACGCCTGCTGACTAGATGGACATCATTTATTATCATTATATAATATTGTTTCTTTCTTTCCAACCTGGTAACTTTGGTTTTCCAAAAATCTATTTTAAATCAGACAATTTAAGTTAACTGAACAAACTTTTGTTCTGGGACATGGGGGCGTCTGCACCGTCGTCTGTCGGCCTCCCAGCAGGATCGTTTAGATTTACACGCTGTTAAAACCAGAACGTTGTCTCTCTGTCCTCGGTGCGAGAGTTTGATCTGGACTATAAGCAGGTCGTCTGAGTGTTTTCTGGGTGATTTCGTTCCCTCCTAGTTTGCTCTCATGGTTTTTGTAGTAAGGTGAATTATTACACGCCGTCACACCCTGCTCACGATGGAAAGGAGCTCTTTAACCAGCTCTGCTACATTTACAGCCAAGTATAAATAAATAATCTGTTTCACTGAAAGACTTTCATTTCTTTATATCTGTTTGGAAAACAGAGTCAAACAGCCACAGATCCATTCAACTGTTTTTAACTGAAATGAAATTCCCTCTAACAGGTTAAAAACGCCCTGTGCAGCTGCGGAAAATGATGTAAAGTAAGAATGTTTTCAATTAAAAGTGTCAGTCAGACGCCGGCCTGGTTTTTCTAGAAGATCTCTGGATGTATAAATCCTGCTGAGGCCTGATACCAATACACAAACGTTTGAACTGTGGAGAACAATCGTTTAGTCTATCTTACGCACCAAAGTTTAATTCATTCATTCTGTCCCAGATAAAAGGCTATTCATTTCAATTTTACGGTGGATTATATTGATTAACAGAAAGAAGGCAAAGCGAGTGAACAGAAGAGAGCAGCAGTCACAGGTTAGTTCCACCAAACAGGCGCTAATGATCCCAGAAATATCGATTTGTCATTTTTAAACTGATCAATTATTTTGAAAGCATGCTAACGTTACAGCTTTGAAAGAAAACACTTCCTGTCTGTAGGTGTGATGGTGATTATCGTTATGGCGTCGTTCTGTGATCGTGTTGTGAATGTAAGAGTAGAGACAGCAGGAAGTCTGACCTCTGCAGCGACACGATGGCGGCCTGCTCGTTCTCGTTCTCAGCCTGAGTCATTCCTAACAGCTGCCAGGCCTGAAACACAACAAGAAGAGTTCGTCAGCTCCTCGCCGCGAAGACGCCTGTGGACGTACAATCTGCCTCCCAGGGTGCACTTCACTAACAACCTGCCAATCACAGGGCTTCACCAAAGAAGCTGAGGGTCAGAAAAATAGAATAAACTATAATAATCCAGGAGAAGGTGCAGCTCCTCCCACAGTGACATCACTTCCTGTCCAGCCCCTGTCCCACACAGTGTGTGGACACATCAGCTGGTGTTCAGGTCTCACCTCAGAGTCCTGCGGGTCCTGCAGGATGGCGGCCTCCAGCAGCAGCACGGCAGCGTTCAGGTCTCCCTCCCGAGCCTTCCCCTGACCCTCGGCGAAGGCGTTGGGCCAGTCCTGGTACGGGTTGTTGGTGTTGAAGTAGTAACCCTGCACGGGACAGACACCAGACCACGTTACCATTACTTCAGGGTCCACGGGGACTTCCTCCATCTGTGGGACCTGAACTATGAATCAATCCTCAGCTACTCACGGCCAGCCTCCAGCTGCCATCGGTCACTGTGACCTTTGACCTGTGATGTCTCTAGATCAATGAAAAGGTCAGCTGCTCCCTGAACCTCGGGCCCTCGGGGTCCCCACTGCTTCAGTTTATTACAACGTGACGACATCTGAAGAGCTGATCGGATCAAAACTTTGGTTTTTGAGCTTAAAGCAATTACTGATTATTATAAAAGTGTTTGTTTCTCCGCCGCCAAGCGGGGCATCTGTTGAGGAGGCCTCAGGGACGACCCAGGACAGGTGCAGAGATTATATCTCCACCATGGCCTGGGAACGCCTCGGGTCCCCCGCTGGAGCTGCTGCACCCCCGCCCGACCCCGGGTAAGTGGTCGTAGATGCGACCGCAAAGTGATCCTCTTTGGTACCAACAGGCCGAGTCAGCGTTCTTCACCTCAGTCAGTAAAAGCACAGGTCACGTGACCACGAACCGCAGAGCCCAGCAGAGACCCGTTTGTTGGACAGAGACGAGGCGGTGGCAGGAAGTGACGGACAGAAAACCACTTCCTGTATGATGAATTATTGATGTTCATTCAGCAGAAACCAGATCAAACCAGATCAGATCCCTCCGGGTCTTTCGCATCACTAAAAAGAACCAGTTCAGAACGGGGTTAGAATTTAATATTTAAAGCTGAATGTGTTTTTATTTTTAGTAAAAGTAACAACATGTCCTGACAGAATATGTTATTGATCAACATCTGAACCAATCAGCTGTTAGATCAGGAGAGACACACGTTTCCCATCATGCACTGGGATGTCAGAGCGAGTTTGTCTTCAATCTTTCAACAACAGGACTGGAAGTCAAACACTAAATGTTCAACAAAACAAGCAGAGAAGAATTAAAGCAGGAAAAACCATCCGTAATGTTTGTTAACGTGTCGACATCAGAGCGGCTTCACCTCCGTCACCACGGTGATGTAACACCTGGGCGAGGGATTACTGCAGATTACCGCTGCTTCACATCAGCTCAGAGCTGATCTCAGGTCAGAGGATTAAAGCTACAGATTAACATCCATCGCAGATATAATCTGTCGTTATTAATAACTGACTGGGAAAAAGGGCTTCTGCAAGGGAGAAATGCATGTTGGGAAAATAAATACATTGGTTTGCACGGCAGCGGACTCTGCTGACCAGGTAACATCAGCACCAGCTCAGCTAGCTGCTCGCTCACTGAGCTCCCTGTCACTGAACCTGGGGACGAGCTCCGTAGGTTTGGTTCTGGAGGGTCGGCGTGGTGTCAACTTTTCCACAGCAGGTCAGAACTTTGCCTTTGAAGCAGGAATAAAACTAAAGCCTCTGTCTCGGGTTTAGGTCTCGGGTCTAGGCTCCTGCAGAACTTAAATCTCCACCATCGCTGGGACACTCGACTACCCCAAGACAAGAACGCAGGATGAGTGAGGCCTCATGTTTGAAGGGAGCAGGTTCTGGACCTACCTTCTCTGCAGGTGAGACGGTGGGCGGGATCGGCCCCTGGTCCTCAGACTCCTCCAACCAGTTCCTGCGGGCAAGCTCCTCCCACTCCGCCTGCATCTTGTCCCAGAACTCCGTGTCCGACTGAAACACAACCACACGCTCGTTCAGACCTCCAGCGAGTCAGATTATCAAGTAAAAACACTGGATCCTACATTTCCCATAATGCACCTGGAGGGTGTCTCCTCACAGCCTCCCCGCCTGTAAAAGAGAACAAATGCTGAAGCTTCATCAGGTTTCTTTTAACGTCACCTTTAACTCAGCAACAGGCTCTGTGATTGGTTGTTTGTTGGTGAAATGCACCTTGGGAGTCGTAGTAGACTCCTCTGCTTCAGGCTCATGTCCACAGGCTTCTAGCTTTGACTCGTCATCACAGAAGCAGATATGCAGCTTGTATAACAGTGTAAAGTAGTGAACGTGCAGCTTGTATAACAGCGTAAAGTAGCGAGCGTGCAGCTTGTATAACAGTGTAAAGTAGTGAACGTGCAGCTTGTATAACAGTGTAAAGTAGTGAGCGTACAGCTTGTATAACAGTGTAAAGTAGCGAGCGTGCAGCTTGTATAACAGTGTAAAGTAGTGAACGTGCAGCTTGTATAACAGTGTAAAGTAGTGAACCTGCAGCTTGTATAACAGCGTAAAGTAGTGAACGTACAGCTTGTATAACAGCGTAAAGTAGCGAGCGTGCAGCTTGTATAACAGTGTAAAGTAGTGAGCGTGCAGCTTGTATAACAGTGTAAAGTAGTGAGCGTGCAGCTTGTATAACAGCGTAAAGTAGTGAGCGTGCAGCTTGTATAACAGTGTAAAGTAGTGAGCGTGCAGCTTGTATAACAGCGTAAAGTAGCGAGCGTGCAGCTTGTATAACAGCGTAAAGTAGCGAGCGTGCAGCTTGTATAACAGTGTAAAGTAGTGCAGCTTGTATAACAGTGTAAAGTAGTGAGCGTGCAGCTTGTAGAACAGTGTAAAGTAGTGAGAGTGCAGCTTGTAGAACAGTGTAAAGTAGTGAGCGTGCAGCTTGTAGAACAGTGTAAAGTAGCGAGCGTGCAGCTTGTATAACAGTGTAAAGTAGCGAGCGTGCAGCTTGTATAACAGTGTAAAGTAGCGAGCGTGCAGCTTGTATAACAGCGTAAAGTAGCGAGCGTGCAGCTTGTATAACAGCGTAAAGTAGCGAGCGTGCAGCTTGTATAACAGCGTAAAGTAGCGAGCGTGCAGCTTGTATAACAGCGTAAAGTAGTGAGCGTGCAGCTTGTATAACAGTGTAAAGTAGTGAGCGTGCAGCTTGTTTAACAGCGTAAAGTAGTCAGCTTGTATAACAGCGTAAAGTAGTGAGCGTACAGCTTGTATAACAGTGTAAAGTAGTGAGCGTGCAGCTTGTATAACCGTGTAAAGTAGTGAGCGTGCAGCTTGTATAACAGTGTAAAGTAGTGCAGCTTGTATAACCGTGTAAAGTAGTGAGCGTGCAGCTTGTATAACAGTGTAAAGTAGTGCAGCTTGTATAACAGTGTAAAGTAGTGAGCGTGCAGCTTGTATAACAGTGTAAAGTAGTGAGAGTGCAGCTTGTAGAACAGTGTAAAGTAGTGAGCGTGCAGCTTGTAGAACAGCGTAAAGTAGTGAGCGTGCAGCTTGTATAACAGCGTAAAGTAGTGAGCGTGCAGCTTGTATAACAGCGTAAAGTAGTGAGCGTGCAGCTTGTATAACAGCGTAAAGTAGTGAGCGTGCAGCTTGTATAACAGCGTAAAGTAGCGAGCGTGCAGCTTGTATAACAGTGTAAAGTAGTGCAGCTTGTATAACAGTGTAAAGTAGTGCAGCTTGTATAACAGTGTAAAGTAGTGAGCGTGCAGCTTGTATAACAGTGTAAAGTAGTGAGCGTGCAGCTTGTATAACAGTGTAAAGTAGTGCAGCTTGTATAACAGTGTAAAGTAGTGAGCGTGCAGCTTGTAGAACAGTGTAAAGTAGTGAGCGTGCAGCTTGTATAACCGTGTAAAGTAGTGAGCGTGCAGCTTGTATAACAGTGTAAAGTAGTGCAGCTTGTATAACAGTGTAAAGTAGTGAGCGTGCAGCTTGTAGAACAGTGTAAAGTAGTGAGCGTGCAGCTTGTATAACAGTGTAAAGTAGTGAGCGTGCAGCTTGTATAACAGCGTAAAGTAGTGAGCGTGCAGCTTGTATAACAGCGTAAAGTAGTGAGCGTGCAGCTTGTATAACAGCGTAAAGTAGTGAGCGTGCAGCTTGTATAACAGCGTAAAGTAGTGAGCGTGCAGCTTGTATAACAGCGTAAAGTAGCGAGCGTGCAGCTTGTATAACAGCGTAAAGTAGCGAGCGTGCAGCTTGTATAACAGCGTAAAGTAGCGAGCGTGCAGCTTGTATAACAGCGTAAAGTAGTGAGCGTACAGCTTGTATAACAGCGTAAAGTAGCGAGCGTGCAGCTTGTATAACAGCGTAAAGTAGTGAGCGTACAGCTTGTATAACAGTGTAAAGTAACACTGGCAACAAAAGTGAGGACACCCCTAAAGAGCCATTATTTTCCAGCGCTGCCTTATCCCTCGTGGGCCTGGAGTTCACCAGAGCTTCACAGGTTGGCTCTGGAGTCCTGTTCCAGTCCTCCATGCCAACATCACGGAGCTGGTGGATGTTAGAGACCTTGCGCTCCTCCACCTTCCGTTTGAGGAGCCCCACAGATGCTCAGTAGGGTTCAGGTCTGGAGACATGCTCAGCCAGTCCATCACCTTTACCCTCAGCTTCTTTAGCGAGGCAGCGGTCGTCATCATGTTGGAATGCTGCCCTGCGGCCCAGTCTCTGAAGGGAGGGGATCCTGCTCTGCTTCAGTATGTCATAGTACATGTTGGCATTCATGGTTCCCTCAGTGAGCTGTAGCTCCCCAGTGCCAGCAGCCCTTATGCAGCCCCAGACCAGGACACTCCTACCATCATGCTGGACTGTGGGCAGGAACACCAAACACCAAACTTAACACACCTGCTCCCCATTCACACCTGAGACCTTGTAACACTAACGAGTCACATGACACCGGGGAGGGAAAATGTTTAATTGGGCCCAATGTGGACCTTTTCACTGAGTCCTCACTGTTGTTGCCAGCGGTTTAGACATTAACGGCTGTGTGACGTGTTATTTTGAGGGGACAGCAGATTTACACTGTTATACAAGCTGTACACACGCTACTTTACATTGGATCAGAGATGGGGACTCGGGTTAGAGACTCGGGTTAGAGACTCGGACTCGAGTGCGATTTAAGTTGCACACACAGTGACTTCAGACTCTGACTCAAGGTGCGGGACTCGTGAACTCGTTTATTTTTAGTAAGCGTCTGATGAGCTTGCTGTTATTATTCCCCTCCCTGTGTTACCCATAACCTGCCTACATAACACGTAGTTTCAGCTGCACGGCCGCACGTGAGAGGACAACAAACAGCTGCTTTAAAACTTCATACGGCAAGACCCAAACAAAGAAGCGCTGAACGCAAAATAGGTTAGTAACCTGAGGTTAGTGAACAGGTTTAGCTCAGCTTGTGCTCTGTAAGTTAAAAACAGGTTACAGTTACAGTGTACCTTATAGTTATGCAGTTTTATAAGAAACCTGGACTGAACGCAGCAGGTGATAGAACATTTGTAATAACCACGAGAGACTTGAGACTTGATTTGGACTCTAGCTCAAAGACTTGTGAACATCTTTGCATTGTAGCAAAGTGTCATTTCTTCAGTGTTGTCACATTAACAGATAATATTTACAAAAATGTGAACTCACTTTTGTGAGAAACTGAATATACATATAACAACCTTGTCAGATAGCCACAGCTAGCTTTTAGCTAAAGCTATCTTAAATGCATTTTATTCCGTAAATGTCTGTGAATGGAAAAATATTAATTTTAATGAATCAACATTTTGATAATTCTCACAAAAACGTGGCAGCAGCTAAATCCCTGCCCTGCTAGTTTAGCATAGCATCCGCAACCACCTGACCTTCTGACCCAGGAATCCAAGCAACTTGGTGCCATTTTAAAATAAATATTCATTTTATCAATGTTAGGCGTTTTTATTCCTGAGGTATCTTTTTCTCTTCTTGTCTCATCAGGTTGTTTTTATGGTAAAATAGTGTAAATAGGCTTAAAGTCATTACATCCTGTTACCCAGCGAGCTGGTGTTGGTCCCCTCAGGTTTCAGAGCATCAGTAACATTTTGTACATGAAGGTCTGAAAATCTGATTTTCAACTTTCATCAAATCCATGAATTTAATTTTCATTTATAACAACAAAAAAATCATCATTATCGTCACCTGTAACATCTAATACTGTTATATATGTTAACATTATAAAATAACTTTCCCTAGAGTGTTTCTGGTTTAAGGAACACTGAGGTTCACAAAACAAAGAGCTTATATGTGAACACTTTCTCTCATATGTAAAACAGTCTGTTGACCTCTGTGTCTCTGTGGATTAAAACACCTGCAGCTAAATTCAGGAGCTGTCAGCTGTGATGAAGAAGAGCTTTTAATCAGCGGCTCGTCAATCAGGCGGGACGCTGTGATTGGTTCAGTGAGCCGAGCTGATGGGACTGAAGAGCAGAACACCGCAAACTCGTTGACGCGAGAGGCTCAAATCAAATATCTGACAGAGAAAATCCGCACTTTAATCACTGAGCTGCTGGTTCACTTCACCTCCTCCAGACTGAATCAAACATTATATAAAGCACCATCATCCACCAACCTGAAACATCCTCTGATCCGTCCTGACCTGTCCTAAACCAACCTGAACCGTCCTGAAACAACCCTAACCATCATGAAACAACCTGAACCATCCTGAGACAACCTGAACCATCCTGAACCGTCCTGAACCATCCTGAGACAACCTGAACTATCCTGAGACAACCTGAACCATCCTGAGACAACCTGAACCGTCCTGAGACAACCTGACCTGTCCTAAACCAACCTGAACCGTCCTGAAACAACCCTAACCATCTTGCTAACCAACCCTAACCATCCTGAGACAACCTGAACCATCCTGAGACAACCTGAACCGTCCTGAACAGTCCTGAACCATCCTGAGACAACGTGAACCATCCTGAGACAACCTAAACTATCCTGAGACAACCTGAACAGTCCTAAAACAACCTGAACCGTCCTGAAACAACCTGAACCATTTTGAACCGTTCTGAACCATCCTGAACCATCCTGAAACAACCTGAACCATCCTGAGACAACCTGAACCGTCCTGAAACAACCCTAACCATCCTGAAACAACGTGAACCATCCTGAGACAACCTGAACCGTCCTGAGACAACCTGAACCATCCTGAACCGTCCTGAACCATCCTGAGACAACCTGAACCATCCTGAACCATCCTGAGACAACCTGAACAGTCCTAAAACAACCTGAACCGTCCTGAAACAACCTGAACCATTTTGAACCGTTCTGAACCATCCTGAACCGTCCTGAAACAACCTGAACCGTCCTGAACCATCCTGAGACAACCTGAACCGTCCTGAACCATCCTGAGACAACCAGAACCATCCTGAGACAACCTGAACCGTCCTGAAACAACCTGAACAGTCCTGAGACAACCTGAACCATCCTGAAACAACCTGAAACAACATGAAACAACCTGAACCATCCTGAACCATCCTGAAACAACCTGAACCGTCCTGAGACAACCAGAACCGTCCTGAACCGTACAGAACAGTCCCGAAACAACCTGAACCGTCCTGAACCATCCTGAGACAACCTGAACCGTCCTGAACCATCCTGAGACAACCTGAACCGTCCTGAGACAACCTGAACCGTCCTGAACCATCCTGAGACAACCAGAACCATCCTGAGACAACCTGAACCGTCCTGAAACAACCTGAACAGTCCTGAGACAACCTGAACCATCCTGAAACAACATGAAACAACCTGAACCATCCTGAACCATCCTGAAACAACCTGAACCGTCCTGAACCATCCTGAGACAACCTGAACCGTCCTGAACCGTACAGAACAGTCCCGAAACAACCTGAACCGTCCTGAAACAACCTGAACAATTTTGAGCCATCCTGAACAGTCCTGAAACAACCACTTTGAACAGTTTTGAACCATCCTGAACAGTCTTGAGACAACCTGAACCATCTTGAGAAATCCTGAACCGTCCTGAACAGTCTTGAGATTACCTGACCCATCCTGAACTGTTCTGAAACAACCTGAATTGTTCTGAACTGTCCTGAAATAACCTGAATGATCCTGAACCATTCTGAACAGTCCTAAAACAACCTGGACCGTCCTGAAACAACCTGAACCATCCTGAACAGTCTTGAGACAACCTGAACCATCCTGAACCATCCTGAGACAACCTGAACAGTCCTAAAACAACCTGAACCGTCCTGAACAGTCTTGAGATAACCTGTCCCATCCTGAAATGTTCTGAAACAACCTGAATTTTTCTGAACTGTCCTGAAACCACCTGAACCATCCTGACACAACCTGAACCATCCTGAGACAACCTGAACCGTCCTGAACCATCCTGCGACAACCTGAACCATCCTGCGACAACCTGAACCGTGCTGAAACTACCTGAGACAACCAGAACCGTCCTGAACCATCCTGAGACAACCAGAACCGTCCTGAACCATCCTGAGACAACCTGAACCATCCTGAACCATCCTGAGACAACCAGAACCATCCTGAGACAACCTGAACCATCCTGAACCATCCTGAGACAACCAGAACCATCCTGAGACAACCTGAACCATCCTGAGACAACCTGAACCATCCTGAACCATCCTGAGACAACCAGAACCATCCTGAAACAACCTGAACCATCCTGAGACAACCTGAACCATCCTGAACTGTTCTGAAACAAGTCCTGAATCCAAATGTAGTTTTTTCAGTTTTTATCTTAAAATGGCAATTTACATAGTTCTCATGTGATGCACTGCAGTGCGGATTTGTTAGTAATTTAATATCCGTAAAATCAAGATTTAATGAGCAACTCTCATCATCGGCAAAACCCCAGTCCTCTTCATCCTCACCTTCATCAGTGGTGTTTGTGGATCAAGAATAGAAGGGATTATATAAGTGAGGTAGCAGTTGTGTCTGTGTTGGAAAGACGTCTCCTGGGAATAAACAGAACCGTCACTACTTCACACCCAGACGCACTCAGAGGCGACAAACTCTCACCCCTGAACATGAATATATCATTTAACCAGTTTTAAAACGCTGTAAACCGCATCGCCAGAGCTTCATCTTCTACACGCATCATCACAATAAAAACACAAAAAACTAAACAACCGTCAGCTGAGGACGAGCAGCTCGGTCTTATTTTCAGAGCAGATATGAAAACTGATCCTGAGTCTGCTGGTTCGTCCTGATCTGAATGTTTGCTGAATCACAGAGTTCTGACAGGAAGTACAGGGCGGATCTCTGGTCAGCAACACATATCTGTTCCTGAAGATCAGCTAATACCTGAAATCCAACACGTCAAACTGCCCCGAGCTGAAGGTTTCATTACCGTCATCTAACCACATGAGGACACGTGGACCCGAGGACGGCGTCGGAGAGACTGGACATTTATTTATGGACATCTGGAAAGAGGACATTTTGTCATTATGTTTGTTTATACCTCAACAGCAGCCTTCGCTCTGACAAACTCGTCCTCCAGAGACTCTTTTCTGGCCAGCAGGGAACGAGTCCGCCGCCGCTGTCTGGACGCCGCGCAGTCCTGAGAACACACGGAGAGAAAGGTCAGCCAGCAGCCGTCAGTCGGACCGTAAAGACAAACTCACACACTCACAAAGTCAAAGTCCTGAACTGACCACCAGCCCCCAGAATCTGCAGGGAACGCTGCATCATCCCAGGCTCCCTGAACTACACACAGTGTTCAGCTCGGGTTCTGTTTCCATCTTATTTTACAGGAAGAACAGGAGTACTACAGTATAAATACTGTCAGTATAAAGTACTACAGTATAAATACTGTCAGTATAAAGTACTACAGTATAAATACTGTCAGTATAAATACTGTCAGTATAAAGTACTGCAGTACAGATACAGTCAGTATAAAGTACTACAGTATAAATACTGTCAGTATAAATACTGTCAGTATAAAGTACTGCAGTACAGATACAGTCAGTATAAAGTACTACAGTATAAATACTGTCAGTATAAATACTGTCAGTATAAATACTGTCAGTATAAAGTACTACAGTACAGATACAGTCAGTATAAAGTACTACAGTATAAATCCTGTCAGTATAAATACTGTCAGTATAAAGTACTACAGTACAGATACAGTCAGTATAAAGTACTACAGTATAAATCCTGTCAGTATAAATACTGTCAGTATAAAGTACTACAGTACAGATACAGTCAGTATAAAGTACTACAGTATAAATCCTGTCAGTATAAATACTGTCAGTATAAAGTACTACAGTACAGATACAGTCAGTATAAAGTACTGCAGTATAAATACTGTCAGTATAAAGTACTACAGTATAAATACTGTCAGTATAAAGTACTACAGTACAGATACAATCAGTATAAAGTACTACAGTATAAATACTGTCAGTATAAAGTACTACAGTACAGATACAGTCAGTATAAATACTGTCAGTATAAAGTACTACAGTATAAATACTGTCAGTATAAATACTGTCAGTATAAAGTACTACAGTATAAATACTGTCAGTATAAATACTGTCAGTATAAAGTACTACAGTACAGATACAGTCAGTATAAAGTACTACAGTATAAATACTGTCAGTATAAATACTGTCAGTATAAAGTACTGCAGTATAAATACTGTCAGTATAAATACTGTCAGTATAAAGTACTACAGTACAGATACAGTCAGTATAAAGTACTACAGTATAAATACTGTCAGTATAAAGTACTACAGTACAGATACAGTCAGTATAAATACTGTCAGTATAAATACAGTCAGTATAAAGTACTACAGTATAAATACTGTCAGTATAAATACTGTCAGTATAAAGTACTACAGTACAGATACAGTCAGTATAAAGTACTACAGTACAGATACAGTCAGTATAAAGTACTACAGTATAAATACTGTCAGTATAAAGTACTACAGTACAGATACTGTCAGTATAAAGTACTACAGTACAGATACAGTCAGTATAAAGTACTACAGTATAAATACTGTCAGTATAAAGTACTACAGTACAGATACAGTCAGTATAAAGTACTACAGTATAAATACTGTCAGTATAAAGTACTACAGTACAGATACAGTCAGTATAAATACTGTCAGTATAAAGTACTACAGTAGAAATACTGTCAGTATAAATACTGTCAGTATAAAGTACTACAGTACAGATACTGTCAGTATAAAGTACTACAGTATAAATACTGTCAGTATAAAGTACTACAGTACAGATACTGTCAGTATAAAGTACTACAGTATAAATACTGTCAGTATAAAGTACTACAGTACAGATACAGTCAGTATAAAGTACTACAGTATAAATACTGTCAGTATAAAGTACTACAGTACAGATACAGTCAGTATAAATACTGTCAGTATAAAGTACTACAGTACAGATACAGTCAGTATAAATACTGTCAGTATAAAGTACTACAGTATAAATACTGTCAGTATAAATACTGTCAGTATAAAGTACTACAGTACAGATACAGTCAGTATAAAGTACTACAGTATAAATACAGTATAAATACTGTCAGTATAAAGTACTACAGTACAGATACAGTCAGTATAAAGTACTACAGTATAAATACTGTCAGTATAAAGTACTGCAGTATAAATACTGTCAGTATAAATACTGTCAGTATAAAGTACTACAGTACAGATACAGTCAGTATAAAGTACTACAGTATAAATACTGTCAGTATAAAGTACTACAGTACAGATACAATCAGTATAAAGTACTACAGTACAGATACAGTCAGTATAAAGTACTACAGTATAAATACTGTCAGTATAAAGTACTACAGTACAGATACAGTCAGTATAATACTGTCAGTATAAATACAGTCAGTATAAAGTACTACAGTATAAATACTGTCAGTATAAATACTGTCAGTATAAAGTACTACAGTACAGATACAGTCAGTATAAAGTACTACAGTATAAATACTGTCAGTATAAAGTACTACAGTACAGATACTGTCAGTATAAAGTACTACAGTACAGATACAGTCAGTATAAAGTACTACAGTATAAATACTGTCAGTATAAAGTACTACAGTACAGATACAGTCAGTATAAATACTGTCAGTATAAAGTACTACAGTAGAAATACTGTCAGTAGAAATACTGTCAGTATAAAGTACTACAGTACAGATACTGTCAGTATAAAGTACTACAGTATAAATACTGTCAGTATAAAGTACTACAGTACAGATACTGTCAGTATAAAGTACTACAGTATAAATACTGTCAGTATAAATACTGTCAGTATAAAGTACTACAGTACAGATACAGTCAGTATAAAGTACTACAGTATAAATACAGTATAAATACTGTCAGTATAAATACTGTCAGTATAAAGTACTACAGTACAGATACAGTCAGTATAAAGTACTACAGTATAAATACTGTCAGTATAAAGTACTGCAGTATAAATACTGTCAGTATAAATACTGTCAGTATAAAGTACTACAGTACAGATACAGTCAGTATAAAGTACTGCAGTACAGATACAGTCAGTATAAAGTACAGATACAGTCAGTATAAAGTACTACAGTACAGATACAGTCAGTATAAAGTACTGCAGTACAAACAGCAGCTCACCTGTGTTGAAGATATGAAGTCGAGATCGTCGAAGCTGTGGACTTCGAAGCAGTTCTTCGTCAGAGGATCAGTTTTAAACTCCGCAGACCTGAAGGAGCAGAACAGAAACCTGTTATCGGTGTCAGCGCCCCCTACACCTGCAGTACAGATACAGTATAAAGTACTGCAGTACAGATACAGTCAGTATAAAGTACAGATACAGTCAGTATAAAGTACAGATACAGTCAGTATAAAGTACTGTGGACCCTGTGAATCTGGTCTCGGACAGACCAGGCTGTGGACCCTGTGAATCTGGTCTCGGACAGACCAGGCTGTGGACCCTGTGAATCTGGTCTCGGACAGACCAGGCTGTGGACCCTGTGAATCTGGTCTCAGACAGACCAGGCTGTGGTCCCTGTGAATCTGGTCTCGGTCTCAGACAGACCAGGCTGTGGACCCTGTGAATCTGGTCTCGGACAGACCAGGCTGTGGTCCCTGTGAATCTGGTCTCAGACAGACCAGGCTGTGGACCCTGTGAATCTGGTCTCGGACAGACCAGGCTGTGGACCCTGTGAATCTGGTCTCAGACAGACCAGGCTGTGGACCCTGTGAATCTGGTCTCGGACAGACCAGGCTGTGGACCCTGTGAATCTGGTCTCGGACAGACCAGGCTGTGGACCCTGTGAATCTGGTCTCAGACAGACCAGGCTGTGGACCCTGTGAATCTGGTCTCGGACAGACCAGGCTGTGGTCCCTGTGAATCTGGTCTCGGACAGACCAGGCTGTGGACCCTGTGAATCTGGTCTCGGACAGACCAGGCTGTGGACCCTGTGAATCTGGTCTCGGACAGACCAGGCTGTGGTCCCTGTGAATCTGGTCTCGGACAGACCAGGCTGTGGACCCTGTGAATCTGGTCTCAGACAGACCAGGCTGTGGTCCCTGTGAATCTGGTCTCGGACAGGCTGTGGACCCTGTGAATCTGGTCTCAGACAGACCAGGCTGTGGTCCCTGTGAATCTGGTCTTGGACAGACCAGGCTGTGGACCCTGTGAATCTGGTCTTGGACAGACCAGGCTGTGGACCCTGTGAATCTGGTCTCAGACAGACCAGGCTGTGGTCCCTGTGAATCTGGTCTCGGACAGGCTGTGGACCCTGTGAATCTGGTCTCAGACAGACCAGGCTGTGGTCCCTGTGAATCTGGTCTCGGACAGACCAGGCTGTGGTCCCTGTGAATCTGGTCTCGGACAGACCAGGCTGTGGTCCCTGTGAATCTGGTCTCGGACAGACCAGGCTGTGGACCCTGTGAATCTGGTCTCAGACAGACCAGGCTGTGGACCCTGTGAATCTAATCTGGTCTCGGACAGACCAGGCTGTGGTCCCTGTGAATCTGGTCTCGGACAGACCAGGCTGTGGTCCCTGTGAATCTGGTCTCGGACAGACCAGGCTGTGGTCCCTGTGAATCTGGTCTCGGACAGACCAGGCTGTGGACCCTGTGAATCTGGTCTCGGACAGACCAGGCTGTGGTCCCTGTGAATCTGGTCTCGGACAGACCAGGCTGTGGACCCTGTGAATCTGGTCTCGGTGGTTATATTTACCACAGCAGTTCGCTGGAGGAGTGGTGGGAGGTGCATCTCTTCTCGTATCTCTTGCGTCCTGCGTCCTCCACGTCCAGGTTCACCTCGTCCCATTTGTCCAGAGGAGAAGACAGACTGACTGTGAAGAGCAACAACAACAGGATGCTTCAGATCTGACGAACTGAACAACAAGAGTAGAAACTGTCCGAGAGTGAAACAGGAAGTCTCATCACAAGTCGGTTTCTACTCACAACTGAGTGACTTCACAGCTGTTAGCGAAATGAACCTGAAGAGAAGCAGCTAAAAACAAACAGCAGCTGACCTGGAGTCGGTTACCGTGGTGATGACGATGTTTACAACACACAGAAAAACCCTTGTGGTGCACCATGAATGCTGGCGGCTGTTAATAGTGAATGTGACGTAGTGTAAAAACGCTTTGAGAGGTCGACTGACTTTGGAGTTCCTCAGGGTTCTACTCTGGGTCCTTTATATTTAAAGCTGCATTTTGTTTTATTTGTTGACGGGGTGCGCCGGAACGATCTGTAAACTCCACACCTGACTTGTACTGAACCCGAATCTGTTCATTATCAGTACCTGAGTCCAGTGAGATCCGCTCAGGTGTTCTGGGACTGGCAGGCAGGTGTTCCACCTCCACCTGGATCAGCTCCGTCTCGTCAGGTCTCGTCCGGCATCTCGGGCTCCTCGGGCTGCCCTTCCTCCTCAGAGGGCTCCTCCTCTGGGGGCTCCTCCTCTGGTCCTTGTTGCTGCTGCTGCCCCGACACTGCTGCTCCCGCTACTACCGCCGTTACTGCCCGTGCTGCTCTCCCCGGCTCGCTGAGGTCCACCAGGTCCAGAGCTGTGGACAGAACTGCAGGACAACAGGATGGAGGCTTAATATTCAGTCTAACAGCTCTGTTTTAGAGGACAAACTGGTGCTGAGAGCGTTTCCAAGATATCCTGATACTTTAAGTCTGACTTTATTTAGCCTGAAGCAGAAAGTCCAGATTTCTCAATTTCAGAAAAGCAGACTTTAATTTTTGGGATTACGTGGGATTAAATTTCAATTCAGTGTATTTGCTTATATGACAACAGCTCTGTAACTGAAGGAGCTAGAGTTTGTTTTCATCAGCTGTCCCTGGCCAGTAGTTAAAAAGGCAACCTAAAAGACAAAAAGCAACGTCCTCAGAACAAATAGTCAGACGGGTAACAATTAGTAAGAAACAAGTCACTGGATAAAGCACGGCAAGAAAAGACAAACTGAAGGCAGGCGGCTCACATCAACGAGCTCTTCTTCACGTGGGAATGAATTAAACACTTAATCACTGTTGACGACCTAAACAAACACCTGCCAGTTAACACAGGGTTCGATTGTTTTAATCGATCTACATCCCACATGTTCTATTATCACATATGGCAGCAATGTTCATCTGTCCACATACTTTTGGCCATATAGTGCTCTTCTTCTTTAAATACTGATCACACTTGAGGAGGCCATAACTTCCTGTTTGACTGTGCATGGACTGGACTTTTTTATTTGACCTCTGTAATCAGTAACTGAATATTAAGCTGGTTTTTTTCTGTGCATTCCTCGTCTGAGCGAGCGACCTCTGAAAGTCCTTATCAAACTGTGAAACAGGATCCCACAGTTTGATCTGGACCAGATGAAATTTCAGCCGCCGTCTCCTCCTCTGCTCTTCAGATTGTTTTAATGAAAACACAGAAACACACAAACAGCGCCGGACGTCTGTTTAAGCTAATGAGCGAGAGGAGGAGGACGGAGCAGACAGGAGGAGCGGCTGGGTCAGAGGTGTTAATTAATGACCGGTGGACCTGCTGAGTCGGAGGTGACAGATGGGCACAGAGGAGGAGGAGGAGGAGGAGGAGGAGGAGGAAGAGGAGGACGAGAAAGAGCCCTCTGTCAGAGGAGGATGAGGAGGAGGAGGAGGAGGAGGAGAGGGAGAGGAAGAGGACGAAGAGAGGGAGAGGAGGAGGAGAGGGAGAGGAAGAGCCCTCTGTCAGAGGAGGAGGAGGAGGAGGAGGAGGAGGAGAGGGAGAGGAAGAGGACGAAGAGAGGGAGAGGAAGAGGAGGACGAGGAAGAGCCCTCTGTCAGAGGAGGAGGAGGAGGACGAGGAAGAGCCCTCTGTCAGAGGAGGAGGAGGAGGACGAGGAAGAGCCCTCTGTCAGAGGAGGAGGAGGAGGAGGAGGACGAGGAGGAGGAGGAGGAGGAGGACGAGGAAGAGCCCTCTGTCAGAGGAGGAGGAGGAGGAGGAGGACGAGCCCTCTGTCAGAGGAGGAGGAGATGTGGCAGAATCGCAGAGGAAACATAAAAAGTTGAAGGACAAAGACAGACATGCGGCTGTTGTTCTAGAGGAACGAAGGAGAGAATGGACTGAAAGTAAAAGCCCCGGAGGGAAGATGACCCTCAGCTCTTACTCTTATTTTTAGCCACATTAGCAGCTACAGGTGCTAACATCCTTTTCAGAATCAGAAAGCGAGATTTAAGTGCAACTCCCCTCAAAGTGCAATCAAATAGAGATACTACGGTAAAAAGAACACGTCCTGGTAGAAAGTGGCAGCAGGACATCGGCCCTCCTGTTCGCTCCAGACGGAAACAGCAGCTTTTGGATGGATGGTGATGAAATGTGCTTCACACCTTCATGTTCCCCGACACGCTGTGAGGGCGCGGCTGCCGTGACGCCGCCCGTTGGTTTGTGCACTGCTGTCAGAGACGCGCCACTCAGTCACATCCTCAGTACAACTCTATGGGGAAAGCCCGTAACGGTAAAGATGGCGTTGATCCCGCCCCTCTCGCTAGAAAGCCAATCGTCTGCTTTAAACAGCCAGAGCGGGAAACATATTTCAGCCAATCGTGTGGTTCCACCGACATAAAGGTCCGTTTTACTTCTACTGCGCATGAGCGCGGGAGTGGTGACGCAGAAGTGTAAAAACAGAATCCCTTATAGCTCTGCAGTTTTATAAGCAGCCTGGACTGAACGCAGCAGCTGATACAACATTCGTAATAACCACGAGAGACTTGAGACTTGACTTGGACTCTAGCTCAGAGACTTGAGACTTGACTTGGACTCTAGCTCAGAGACTTGAGACTTGACTTGGACTCTAGCTCAGAGACTTGAGACTTGACCTGGACTCTAGCTCAGAGACTTGAGACTTGACCTGGACTCTAGCTCAGAGACTTGAGACTTGACCTGGACTCTAGCTCAGAGACTTGAGACCTGACTTGGACTCTAGCTTAAAGACTTGAGACTTGACTTGGACTCTAGCTCAGAGACTTGAGACTTGACTTGGACTCTAGCTCAGAGACTTGAGACTTGACTTGGACTCTAGCTCAGAGACTTCTGACTTGACCTGGACTCTAGCTTAAAGACTTGAGACTTGACCTGGACTCTAGCTCAGAGACTTGAGACTTGACCTGGACTCTAGCTTAAAGACTTGAGACTTGACCTGGACTCTAGCTCAGAGACTTGAGACTTGACTTGGACTCTAGCTCAGAGACTTGAGACTTGACTTGGACTCTAGCTCAGAGACTTGAGACTTGACCTGGACTCTAGCTCAGAGACTTGAGACTTGACCTGGACTCTAGCTCAGAGACTTGAGACTTGACTTGGACTCTAGCTCAGAGACTTGAGACTTGACTTGGACTCTAGCTCAGAGACTTGAGACTTGACCTGGACTCTAGCTCAGAGACTTGAGACTTGACTTGGACTCTAGCTCAGAGACTTGAGACTTGACCTGGACTCTAGCTCAGAGACTTGACTTGGACTCTAGCTCAGAGACTTGAGACTTGACTTGGACTCTAGCTCAGAGACTTGAGACTTGACTTGGACTCTAGCTCAGAGACTTGAGACTTGACTTGGACTCTAGCTCAGAGACTTGAGACTTGACCTGGACTCTAGCTCAGAGACTTGAGACTTGACCTGGACTCTAGCTCAGAGTCTTGAGACTTGACCTGGACTCTAGCTCAGAGACTTGAGACTTGACCTGGACTCTAGCTTAAAGACTTGAGACTTGACCTGGACTCTAGCTCAGAGACTTGAGACTTGACTTGGACTCTAGCTCAGAGACTTGACCTGGACTCTAGCTCAGAGACTTGAGACTTGACCTGGACTCTAGCTCAGAGTCTTGAGACTTGACCTGGACTCTAGCTTAAAGACTTGAGACTTGACCTGGACTCTAGCTTAAAGACTTGAGACTTGACCTGGACTCTAGCTCAGAGACTTGAGACTTGACTTGGACTCTAGCTCAGAGACTTGACCTGGACTCTAGCTCAGAGACTTGAGACTTGACCTGGACTCTAGCTTAAAGACTTGAGACTTGACTTGGACTCTAGCTCAGAGACTTGAGACTTGACCTGGACTCTAGCTTAAAGACTTGAGACTTGACCTGGACTCTAGCTCAGAGACTTGAGACTTGACCTGGACTCTAGCTCAGAGACTTGAGACTTGACCTGGACTCTTGCTCAGAGACTTGAGACTTGACCTGGACTCTTGCTCAGAGACTTGACCTGGACTCTTGCTCAGAGACTTGACCTGGACTCTAGCTCAGAGACTTGAGACTTGACCTGGACTCTAGCTCAGAGACTTGAGACTTGACCTGGACTCTAGCTCAGAGACTTGAGACTTGACCTGGACTCTAGCTCAGAGACTTGAGACTTGACCTGGACTCTAGCTCAGAGACTTGAGACTTGACCTGGACTCTAGCTCAGAGACTTGAGACTTGACCTGAACTCTAGCTCAGAGACTTGAGACTTGACCTGAACTCTAGCTCAGAGACTTGTGAGCATCTTTGGGAGGAACTGCAATAACTTTGGTAATCCTGACTTTTCCTCTAGCGCCATCATCAGGTCATCATGTTTATGTCATGGTACCTTGAGCTAAATGCTAACACTGACTTCATGCCGCGCTGCGCAGCGCTGACTTAACGTGATGCATGCTGGACTTAAAATAAGTCATGCTGGTTAGAAATTGTGTCCGACTTTCAGCTGCGCTGCAAAACGTCACCATGTCACATGACACTGAAACAAGGCGGCTGCAGTTGCTTTTCTTCAGCTGCACAAAGTTGGAACCACCTTTTGACTGATCTCAGCTCACAGTAAGCTCGCTCAGGTAAAATGTGTCCGAATTGACGGCGCCCGCCCTTGCAGTCGCCTGCAGCTCACGTTTAACTATCAAGTCGGCCGCAGTCATCTCGAACGCACCTAATGCTAACATGCTGATGTTTAGCAGGTATAACGTGTTTCTCATTTTAGTTTAGCGTGTTAGCATGCTAATGTTAGCTAATTAGCAGTAAACGCAGCGTACAGCTGAGGCTGATGGGAATGTCATCAGTTCTGCAGGTATTGGTCATAAACCAGTGTTAACATGTTACATCACATTTATTCATTTAGCTGGCCCTTTTATCCCAATGTCACACGCCTCTGAAGCCACTCGAGGGTGGACGGGTCACAGTGGGGAATTGAACCCGGGTGTCTCATCCACTGCACCATCACCAACCCATGTGGACCTGATGATGGCGCAAGAGGAAAGTTCCTGAGGGAACATGAAGGTCTGAGCCACATTTCATCACAATCCATCCAACAGCTGCGGATGTTTCAGTCTGATGTAGAGTCACGCTGCTACTGCGGCTAAAATATAACACCTAACAAATATCTTGATGCTCCTGCTCTCCTCTCCTTCTGTCTGCTAAAATTAGAAGTAAACTAAAGCATCAACCAGACACCACCAATCCCAGTGAGCAGCTCTCCACCCAGCCGGCTTCTTCAGCCTCCTCGCAGGACAAACATTAATGCTGTGAACAGGCGGTGACGGTGTTGCCCGCCGCGCTGCCTGTCAGAGAGGATTTATTGGTCCACCACCTGAGAGGACGGAGGGTGGGGCAGCGAGGAGGAGGACGGGTGGAGACAGAGATCAGAGCGGGACGAAGAGGAGGTGCTGATGAGCTGCAGAGGATCCCTGCTGAGCGGTGGAGGAGGGGTGGAGACAGAGGGGGGGCGAGGAGGTGATAATTAGTGGAGTCTACCTGCTGTGTTGGAGGTGAGGGGTCGAGAGGAGGAGGCTTCGCTGCGGCTCTCTGACAGGAAGTCATCGATGGAAGGACTCAGCAGGGGTCGACTCTCCTGCTGCTCCCGGACCAGCTGGAGACCAGAAACCAGAGTTAGAGACCCGACAGCAGAATGTGACGGACAGCTTTATATCTGCGTCTCTACACGCCGCAAAGACTAGAGCAGTGTTCACAGCCGTGTGGGAGGTTTCCGCTTCACCTCCACATTAGCAGTTATCATTACTGATCATCTGAAGTAGGAATGTTGCCACAGAGTCTGAGCTACAGCTCGAGGCCGGTATATCTGTTCTCACTTAGTCAAACTGCCCCTTTAAAAGAAGCTGAATCAGCTGTTAGCATGTTAACATGCAGGTTCTGCAGTAATAAAATCTACATACTGTAAATCTATAAAAAGGGTGAACTCTCTTTATAGATACTTCAGTCCATCTGTGCTGCTGGCTAAAGGACGCTGTAAACAGAAGGAAGACTGCAAAGAAAGCACAGAAACGTCAGTGTGGAACAAGCAAAGCTGCTCCAGATATAATGAGATGTTTCTAAATGAGGCCCGAACACGATCAGATCCTCCGCAGGTTTAGAGCTTCTCATGGATTTTTAAAGCGTAAAGAATCATTTAGTGTTTGTGTGGAGCCTGGAAACCTTTTCAGAGAGCAGCATTCACTCATACAAATTTAATTCTTAAATCCATTCATGAACACAGCTGCTGTCGATTTCACCGTTACAATCTCTTTAAATGTTTAATTCATCAGAGCGGCTGCTGACAGAAGCAAACAGGAGGAAGAGATGCGGGCTGGAAACAGCCTGAGAAGCACTTTGTTTGGGTCGGCGTCTGAAACCTCACGTGGAACCTTATCACAGGCATGAAATATGAAACAGAGAAGACTTTTATCTTCACGGTCTACGACTTCATTCAGACACGACAGCACATTTACAGACTCGCACAACATCACGAGGACGTGGTGTCACTGCCAGAAAGTTCACCGATACGAAGTGAAAAGAAGGTTTTCTGTTTCCTCTCTGGCTGCTGATGGATTTTACTTTGCTGCTGTCTAAATTATTGACCACTGTGAGCACAAAGCAGCTCGCCTCCTCGTCTGGGTCATCAGTTACGTTTATTAGAGAGCGAATTCTGCTGCCTGTAACTCCAACAAAGCGGCTCTGTCAGAGCTTCACAGTTTAATACAGAGATAAGACTTTCTTTGTGCAGAAGAGATGGTACATGTAATCTCTCCCTGCGTATTAAACGCATTCGACCTTCACGTCATCAGGCGCTTATTCACACACGAGGCCGACAGAGAGTTCTGGTAAAAAGGTGTGAACGGGAACGTCGTGCCCACTAACGCACCTTCTTCACACAACAAACACCAGCAAGTCTGCCAGCAGAGACGGCCTGAAAATACGCTCAGGTGTCGTCGTATGATTCATGATGTGGAGATCAGGCAGCGGGACGCAGGCGAGGACGAGGTCGCCGAGCAGCAGACTGAAGCCTGCAGGAATGTTTCCACACTATTTATCTCCCACAATGTCAGAAAGTCCTTTTAAGGCAAACAAAAGGCTACAGTAGCTCTCCTGGGGTTATTGGAAGGCATTCTGGGAAACGTAGTACGACCTTTAATTCACTGGTTGAGGCCAGATCTGCGTGTGCGCCTCCCTAATCCTAATCCACACAGCCGTGTACGTCCACATGTCAACTGCAATATGCTGCTGTTTAATCCTGTGAAAGGCCAGTGAAGAACATCCAGGCTGCAAACGCGATCAGATCTCAATCATGCTTCACACAAACAACCAGAAAACACGTGTGTGTGTGTGTGTGTGTGTGTGTGTGTGTGTGTGTGTGTGTGTGTTCACTTCCACGGGCTCCACATGACTTCGGCGGCAAGGTCAAATCATAACTGAACAGATTAACAGATAAAGTATATCTTCTTCTTCACGGGACACCAGATCATTTAAAACGTACACATCAGCAGACAGAATCAGGATATGGAGACAGAAATGTTGAGCACAAACAGAATGTGTTATTAAATAATAAGAATCACACGGCTCGCTCACGCTCCACGTCCTGCCCCGCTGTGACTCACTCAGGTCAGAGGTCAGTCCCACCAGCTCCACATCCAGCCGCTCAGGTGGACGAAACAAACAGCCACGTTTTCCTGTCAACTTTTCTGAACTTTCAAAAGCGAGTCTGCGCCTTTAAAAATAACAAGCCGTCCTGACAGAGCTGAGCTCTGATTGGAGGGAAACCCAGAGGAAGCTATCGTAGCTTGTTAGCTGCATCTCCCCGCCCAGGTTCACCGACGCTCCTCTGAGACCTGGTTTACTCAGTCAGGAGGTCATCGGGCTGTGATCCACCGTGAAGACGTAGCGTCCTGTTAGCGACTGAGCTAACGGACGAGCCAGAAAAACTATTTCTAACATCTAGCAAATAGCAAATTAGGATTCAATTATCCAAGGGAGCTTAAAATCAAGAGCAACTGGACTTGGATGAAGATACTCGGAGACCGGCAGGGATTCTCAGCTGTTTAACAGCTGTGGGATCGTTGTCACGGTGATCGATGCAGCTGGTTCATTAGTGCTGACCGCTGTAACGACTAGAGGTGAAGCGATTACCGGTTCAACGATAAACCACGGTTATTATTACCGTACACATGATAACCGGGTTCGGATACCAAGCGACAATAAACTCACGACAAAAAACGGCATCAACTGAAGTTAGCGACAGCCTCCCAGAAGCAGGCGCACATGAACTCTGAAGTCTGGTCGTGTTTTAGTTTTTATGAGCGCTGAGGGAAACCTCAGCCCTAAAGACTCTTCTGAGCATGGGGTCACTGCATTACTTATAATCTAAAATAGCATAAAATCTTTAATGATAACGCACACTTAGATGGTTTTCATGTTTACATCATAAAGCTGAACGATTAATCGTTTTTAAATCAAAATTGCGATTTCAAAGAAAGCGATCAGCTAATCGTGAGGATGGCGATTAAAATGTACGTAAATTATGCATTTGACCCGTTTCAAACAGTCGCGCAGTTACAGATTCCGTTGTCATCCTTGTGCGACAGATCTGCTCAATCAACGACTCAATCATTCGAACAGACTCTGGCAGCAGCCGCGGTTTTGTCCGGCGTCAGCTCACAGTGTTTAGCTGCTCTACGTTGGTAACGTGTTGTTAATTTGTCATTTTGTGCGCTTCAACTAAAGATAACAGCTCACGGTGAGTCTGTTTCGTCCCACTCGGTGCAGGCTACATATCACACATGGAGCATTTCAGAATAAGAGCGTTTAACCTGCATAATGTTGCTGACTAGGTCAGATGTTGTTCATTTGTTTAGCTGTCCTTGATTTTTGTGCTTCTATCGTGCTTAGCTAGGCTGCGTAGTTTAATTGTTTCTTTTTATGTCTGTTTTGTTTATATACGATCAGGAGTCTGCACATGGGGTCTTATTTTGAAAATCAACCGGATCCTCTATGCCGTTCTGTGTCTGACTTCCTGCCCGCTTCACCTGCTCTGTGCTGCTTGATGTTGCAGTAAATATTGAACTTTAGCTGTACCTTTTTTTTTAAATAATCACAAATCGAATCATTATCATGATATCTGGCAGAAAAATCGCAATTAGATTTTTTCCCCGAATCGTTCAGCCCTATTAAATCAAATACTGGCTGTTACAAAAGGAGACCTATTCTGCTTTTACACATTTTATGACTTATCTACAATGTTGTAATGTTAAACATAGCCGGAGCTTCAAATAATGAGGTTAAAGCTTTTTAAAGAAATCCCTGTGGGCAGAAACCTCAGATTTCCTCCTGTTCTGCTCTGTTTTGAACTGCTTTTTCTACCCACGGCTCCGTAATACGACACCAGGAGCCAGAGGAGCCGCTGCTCCATACATGGTCGTGTGCTCCCATAGCAACGTCACGGCAACGCTCAGTCTGCCTGTTCCGCCCAGCAACAACAACAGCCTGGTAACATGCTTCAGGTCTTGGCCAATCAGAAGACAGTGGGCTTTGAGAGGGGGGGCCTTAAAGAGACAGGAGCATCTACAGCTTGTTTCAGACAGAGGCTGAAATGAAGGCCTACATGACACAAAATTGTTTTTTGAACTTTGAATCATGCAAAGCTGCCACGCAGGAGTCACACAACTACAATATAGGACTGGAAAAGCAGAATAATAGGTCTCCTTTAAGTTATTAATTTTATTTGTGGTTTTCAATATAAAACTTGTTGACATAGTTTCAATGTGTGTTTCAGTACATTTGAATCTTTTTCAGCACATTTTAACAACACCGTCATAATACTGATAACCGTGATGATTTTGGTCACTATAATCACTCAATAAGTGACTTTTACAACAATAAAGTTAATTTTTACACTGCATTATGTCATGTTCTCTTGATGAGGTCTCATAACTACATAACACATGTTCGGGATAATCTTTGTTTATGTGTTTTTGAAAAGCAAAAAAAAAAAAAAACAGAACATCTGCCGATATATCAGAATATCATATTCTCATATCCTCAAATATCAAAATCGTTATCAGTCTGAAATATCCCACAATGGTTGGACTCTACCTAAAAAAAAAAGAATCACCTACTACTCAGCCCTGAGTCTGCAACAGGCAGGACAACCTGTATGTTACTCTGAAAATCACTGGCTACTGCTTTTAAAGTTGAAATGCTGCGAGCTATCGGAGAATTTTATCACTTTAATCCCCTCAGAGCTTCTATCATGTGTGGTTGGACAGTCAAAGGACTCTGTTCAGAGGCCTTCCAGTGAATGAATCACACTGAAACTGTAAAAATGAGGGGGGACATGCAGCAGTGGTGAATGAAAAGTCAAACTATCATTATATTATTCATTTATTGATTATTTATTTCTTAGTGTGAGTGTTTGTGTTTTGTAATGTATTTTTGGTTATTTATAGATGCGTTTACTGATGCAGGTGACAAATGAAGTCTCCTTTTAGTTTGCTGCTAAATTCTGGTTTATTTCTGTTCTGTGTGTAAAGACACCGTCAGCCATCCTCGTTTAAAGCCCAAAGATAAAGAGTTGGTCATCATCAGCGTAGATTAAGATTAAAATTAGGGCTGCACGGTTAATCTACTCACATTTTCAATTGCGATGTCACCCTGTGCGATTACATAACCACAAAATGGCAGGTTTTTCCTGCATAGAGAAATTTTTGCCCCCCAAAGAGGTTTTAGCAAGCGCCAAAGTTATAATTATATAATTATAATGAATACACAAACATTAGCATTAATCAAATCTTAACCACAGCGGTGTAGGCTGATATCAGAGAAAGGTTTTATTTGTGAAACAGCTGAATCTCAACTAATAAACTATCTGTAGGCAGGAAAAGTTTTAATTTTATTTTTTATTATTTATTTTGCAATCTGCTTATTATCCACGGCCACACAGCGCTCAGAGCGACCATTTCACTCGCATATTCCTTTTAAAACAGACACGTGCAAACCGGATAAATGATTTAGGATCAGTTTGCGAGTAAAGACCTGCCGTAACACTGTTAACATTATATCACAATCACAAATCCCAATATTGTCCACAATGCGGCAGAGGAAGGTAAATGTTATCACAATAAAACATTTCATATCATTCAATATCAATAATTATCAGGATAATTGTCAGGTCATCATTTCTTTAGTTTAAAGGCTGTTTTTTGCTCCTCAGTGAAAGTAAATGTGGTTTGAAACTTTTCTTTCTGGTCAGAACAAACACTTGATGCCAAACAGTGGATCAATAATCTGAGGCAGAACAAATCTGTTTTAACAAATTAATCAAAATCTTTCAGTCCCTTTTCCTCAACAAAATTTCTCAGTACTGATTCATTCGTTATTTAAATTAATTTCATTAAATATTTATTGAACATTTATTGTTAACATTTGTTAGTGATAAAGCACGTTTTATAGTCTATATATAGTATAGATTTCACTGATTAGTGGTTTAGGTTTTGGGGTTAAACTGTGGTGACGGTGTCTCGAACAGAAAACTGATGATTCAAATATTATCAGAATCAACAGAAACAACAAAAACTTTTGAGGTTTGTCCAGAAGCTTCAGAGTCTGCAGCCGGAGGAAAAGCTCCTCCTTCCCCTCCACAAGTTTCTGACTGAAACTCAACATGCAGATGCAGCTCTGAGCCTCAAGCAAACAAGCAAAAATCAACAGAACAAAAAGGAATCAGTGCGAGATAACAAACAAAGCGTGGTCGTAATGCCAACCTTGGTTGTCACGGTGAGGAGGGGGTTTCCTTCTGAGGATGTCTTTTTACCAGGAAGCTCCTTCAGCACCATGGCAACGACCCTTTCCCCTTTCCCCTACAACAGGCAGATCGACAGGGTTCATTCATTCACTCGGCAGCTTTACGTTCACTCAGTCACTCCAGGTCCTTCAAAGCTTAAAAAATGAGTTAGTTAGTTTGGATCCTCGGTTATTTTTGGATCCAAACTCTCTGTGAGGTCTGACAGACGTTAACAGTCACAGTAATCATGTACAGTCAGAGTCATGAACAGGAAAAGAAATCAGTCGTAAACTATTAAAGAAAGAAAGAGAAAACACACGATGACGGTGATGAAGTGTCTGAAGGGGACGAACTCGTCCTGACGTCTCTACAAAGACAAGTAGATTCTGAGTTAATTAGTTATCGTGCTAATAACTCCAACCCCGCTGATAAATCTGCAGCTGATATCAGGTCGATTAATGACATTAAAAAGGAAACAGGTCCTGCGATCACGTTATGAGTGATGTTGTTGCAGCCTTTGTCCACCTGAGGGCGCTCTGCAGCTCGCCTGTTGGCAACACGTGTTCGGAGCCACAAATCCACCACAAAACGCAGAGTTTGTCACGAACACGGAGAGATTTCATTTTGAGGTGGTTTTGCGATCAGAACCTTTGCGCTGGATCCACATCAGGAGAGCAGTTTAAACACGAGGGTCAAGATGCATCCACGTTTCCCGCCCCCACATCTGGCTGTGAGTCCAGACAGAACGGTTCCTGAACGATCCTTTTTTCGATACCAATTTTATTCTAAACAAACTGAGAACCCTTGTTGTTTGTATAAAGTAACTAAATGATCTCATTATTATCATTAATATTGTTTATTGTTTTAATAATTGTTCCTTTGAAAAATTCTTCTGCTTGTCAAAAAGCAAGACATATTTTTAATGTAACAGAGGCCTATAATGTGTTTTTATTCCTCTTCAGTTTTATAAT